AGAGTAAGAGCCCGGGAGGTGGGCACTTGGGGGTCCTTGGAGGACGCCGGCCTGTCTGGTGGGTGGAGAAGGAGCTGCGCGGTGGGCGGTGGGGCCGAAGTCGCTGTTGTCCTGGGCAGTGAGGTCCGCCCGAGGCTGGGCTCTCGGGCTTCCAGGCTCAGGGTATCAGGGACCATCCTGTGTTGTTGCCTCCGCGTTTGGGCTGGTGTGAGCGGGGCCTGGTGTAGGAGAATGGGCATGCCGTCGGGGCAGGGAGGGTGTGGGGGCCAGGGCTTGGGGAGGCAACAGTAACAAACCAATGACCCAGCGCACTTCAGAAGTCCGATAAGGAGGCGTGTGTGTGTGTGTGTGTGTGTGTGTGTCCTACGCGGGAGATGAGAGTATAAGATAGTTTCCTCACTTTGGGGCAATAACTGTCAGCACCTAGTCGAGTTGAAGGTGAACAAAGATGCGGGCCAGCTCTTCACTCCCGAGTATATACACTGAGTGGCCAGATTATTATGACCACCGGACGTTTGTAGGCAAATTAGCTATAATTTCGCGCTGAAGTTGCTAAAGGGCCAGACCATTATAAATGTCTGAATAGCACAATTTACCTAAGTATCATTGCTGATCAGGTTCATCCTATCATGTTGATGGCGTATCCCAATGGAGATGGCTTCTTCCAACAAGACAATGCGCCATGCCACGGTGCTCGTATTGTGCAGGAGTGGTTTCAAGAACATGAGGGAGACTTTACCTTGCTTATGTGGCCCCACAATCCCCAGATCTCAATCCAATTGAGCATTTGTGGGATGAAGTTAAAAGAGCCATCAGGCAGCTGGTTCCACAACCATCAAATCTCACAGAACTGGACAGTGCTATTCATCAGGCATGGTGTCAGGTTCCTCACATCACCTTTCAACATCTCGTGGAGTCAATGCCAAGAAGAATCGCCGCAGTATTGAAGGCAAAAGGTGGCCCAACGAAGTACTGATGGTGTGGTCATAATAATCTGGCCACTCAGTGTAGTCTCTAGTCCTCTGAAAAGGGCCAGAGAGTAAATACATTCGTCTTCATGGACTGTGCAGTCTCTGTGGCAGCCATTCAGCTCGCTGTTGCAGCATGAAAGCAGTCAGGAATCATGCATACATGAATAAGCATGGCTAAGCTCCAAGTAAACTTTATTTACAAGAACAGGAAATGGACCAGATTTGGCCCAAAGGTGTAGAGCAGAGGCGGGACGTTCCAGCCTGCCCTTTAAAGCTGCAAAATCATTGTCCCTGGCCCTGTGGGAGCTTAATCCACCTCACCAGTCATGTGTTACTCCATCATAATAAGTCTGAGGCGTAGAGTTATTCCCATGTTATAGGTCAGGAAACAGGCTAAGAGAGCAGCAGGTTTAGCTGAGGCCGCGGGTCCACACTGGCAGGCCGCAGGCTGCTGACCCGCAGGCCGATGGCTGCCTTGTGCACTCTGTCCCATGCTTCGCTTCCCCTCCATCGAGGGTCTCCTCTCCCCCTGGCGTCCTTCCCTAGGTCAGGGAAGCTGGAGAAATAGGTGACAGGACTTGCCAAGTCCCAGAGCCAAGGAAGTGGCAGCGTGGGAATTACCTGCATCGGACTCCGAAGCTCCTGTAGTGAAACCTACAGGAAAAGAGGGTTGGTTGTGGTCCCTTAACACTTACTGTCCAAACCAGGAACGAAGGATGTCCTGAAATGTGATGGATTTGAAAAATCCCTTTCGAAAGTTCTGGAAGGGAGTCATCCAGTGCATGTTCTCCTCCCGGGCTTGGTACTTGGAGTGTTAAATTTTGGGGGGAGCAGTCGGTGTGTATGAGACAGCCTCCTAACGCCCGATTCCTAATGTTACCCGGTTACGTAGCTTTGCCGTCGACACTTTCTGTCCCACATCGAATCACTGTCTACTGTTTATAAAATGTGATGGTCATTACAATCCGTTCTGGGGTGTAATTGTTGAGTTTTCAAGAGTTTAGCTTTGATTCTGAGTATTCCAAGTGGTGTTTGTAAGAACTATCGCTGTAAATTGCAGTTTTTGAAAATTGAGGTGTGAGAGAACGTAGCCACGTTTAAACAGTTCACTGTGCCCCATGGGACTCTAACTCTCAGTTGGTGGGCAGTGGTCTTTATCATTGGAAGTCTCACTTCTCTCTACAGCAGGCGCTGGCCGCAAGAATTGTTAAAACACGCAGCCCTGACCGTTTAGTCAGGGGCACTGACCTCTGCTCCCTTAGATGTCAGATAAAAAATGACAACAACCTGAAACCTACATTTCATGTTGACCAGTGTCATCTTAATAAATTTAATTTTTAAAAAAGTAAATTAAAAAAATGACAACAGCCAATACAATAGCCATTCGGTGTGAATGAATCAAGTTTATACCTTTTTTTTGTTAGATGGGCAAAGAAATGTAAAATACTTTTTGGTGTGCCGCAGAATTGTAGTAATTAGTTTATGTGTGCATGAGATGAAAAAGGTTGGAAATTGCTGCTCTGTAGGAATCGGGTATTCCTTAAATATTTAAACTTGTAATCAGACTTTTTATGTTTTTTAAGAAAGATGCCAAAGCTCTCAGCTGCCCATCACACTCGTTAATCTAAACACTAAAGCAGCAGGAAAGGTGGGTTTTGATAAACTGTCAGCCAGTGGGCACCGTGGCTGCTCCCACAGGGTTTGCAAGGAGTCAGTTCCCTCGCCCCTGGCTCCGTGCTGGGTGCTCAGGGGGTTGGAAAGCCCGCTTGTTTGGTGGTTTGGACGGTGGGATTGGTCCTGGTGGCGCAGCCTTCTCTTCCCTTACAGTCGGGACCTGTGGTCTGCAACATGACGTCTAATGAATGAGACAGGCCTAGCGCTTTGGTCCTTGTGGTTCTCAAAACATGCTCCATGGAAGCAAATCTGCCTGCTCCTCAGCAGCTATACCGTCTAGGTTAGATGTGTGGTTTGGGGGACCCGCAGACGGCCAGTTTATTTTCATTTTTGGTGTGTTTCAGAAACTGTAGGCACTCACCTAAAGAGTCAATGGATAGGTATTATCATGGAAAGCTCAATACAGTGTATTAATAATTTAAAAAACCCAGATATATCACACGTATAAGTGGTTCACATACATAAATGTACAAGACATTTAAGAAAGTTTAGAAGAATTAAAAAGAAGTTCATACTTACTTTAAACATGTCTTAATTCCCACACCCATCCTGTCATCATAAAAGTAAAAGAAGATTTGTAACTGGCATCGCTGTAAAATAAGGACATTCTGGTCTTCATGGAGTTTGCCCTTTATCAGTCACCCCATACCTCTTAGCTGATTTATTTATTTTGACACCCAGAGTGACTCAGAAGTATGTTTTGCAGTTGCTAAGAGAATAGATCTTAGAAGTTCTCATCACATACATACACAAAACATTGTAACTGTGTGTGGTGATAGATGTTAGACTTACTGTGTGACCAGTGTCTGCGAACATCATGTTGTGCATCTGAAACTATGATAACATCACAGGTCAGCGGTGCCCCAGCAAGAAGAGTTCAGGGAAAAAG